AAACTTCCCAAACATATGTTCAAATACACTGATAATCATTTTATATTGTACATATGGCACGTCCACAACATATGAATGTGTATATATTGACATAATATATCCAAGTAAGTATGTATGATTGTATATAATGAATTTAATGAACGATTACAAATATAATATTGAAATAATAAAATGAAAATTCAAAGAAAATTTAAAAATACAAAAAAAAAGAAAAGAAAAATGAAGCAAGAGAATGAAAATTGATTAAATACTAAAATAATTTGCATATAAATATGAACTTTTCAATAAGTATGTATGTATGTATGTAGATGGATTTATTATTCCATTAAAATTACTAAGAAATACAATAAGCAAAAATCATTTTAAAAATTTATTTATCGTAAAACAAACTGCCATCAGCTTTTATTAGAAACAAAGAACAAATTAGCGTGCAAATCAAATTTAAATCGAAAAATTTCGCTACTTTGTACACAAAGGTGTAACTACGTCAATACATACAAATATGCAATAAGAGAATACTAGAATTCTAGGAAACCTAACCAATTTGATCAATGAAAAAAGAGTACTTGTAAAATTCGAAAGCAAACAATTTGTGTTTGTTTTAGTCACCTATTTCATGTGTAAGTATTTGTTAGAAAATTTTAGTTTCGGGAACCATTATTATATCAATCACATTAAATATAATTATTTGTTAATTGCATAATTGAGACGGCGGAATGGGATTCAACAAATTTCAAGATTTTATAATAATACCAAATTTCATAGCGTATTATTGCAAAAACTAAAAAATTTTTAATTGAATATTTATTTTTCATCATAGACTTTTGATTCTGATTCCGAATTAATATCGATTACGAATAAGTAAATAGAAATAAAATCATATAACAATATTTCTGTACTAAAATTAGTGCTTAATCTATTGCCTGACAAATAAACCACTTCTGAGAACTTCGGTATTGCTTCTAAAAACATTAATTTAACATTAATTAATTAAATAAAGTTTTAGTTTACTGGATACAAAGACTCGTTTATCGATTCTTTTATATCAAATTGTGAAAAATTTCATTAAATTTAATTATATTGAATTAGTTAGAAATTGGAGGAACAAGAGTAAAGTGGACTTATTTACTAAGTGCACATACACACATCCTCATGAAAATTATTTTAGTTTTTCACCAAACTAAACTTCATTTTATCAGATAAAATTCGTACGTATGTGTATTGTATTTGAATGAAATATTTTCAGTTAAAAATAAGTACAGTTAAAATAGTTCGATTATTACAGTTGAATTTGAAATCAAATACAATAGCTGCATACATACACACTTATGCACATTTTATGAGCATGTATTGAGTATTAATGTATGAATGTAAATTATTGTATGAAATTTCAATTGCATTTCGTTTCATTATCGTTTTAATGTTGAACTGATTGAACCGGTTGACTTTATTTTATTTATTGTGCTTTTTTTCTTTTTTTGAATTGATACTAAAATAGAAGGACAGCCACGATATGATTAAGAATGAAAATTTTTCATTCATAAATTTTGTTTCTTTTTTTTGTTATTTTTGTCTTAGCTACTTAAGTATTTTAAAAATAATACTTGGATTTTATTATAAAATAATGCGAAAATAATCAAGATAAAAAGAGTTAAGCATAAGTAAAAAATAAAATTAAAAATTTCTGGAAAATTTACAGTTATTTTTGGCACCATATAAGTTTTTATTTCCACCTTGTTTTCTAATTATTTTCCACCTTGATCCCTTTTTTTCCACTCATGTTACTATTTTTGTGATTTTACATTACACTGCATGAATTTGTTTTACATATTATGAAGGTTCTAAAGCGTGTAAGAGTTTGATCGTCTACATCTATGATTTTAAAAGAAGTTTTCAGCTCTTAGTCAAAAAAACTGTTTTCAAAAAAGGAAATAAGTTAAGATTAAGATAAGAATATATGTCTGATAAGAAAATATGTCTGAACATGTGTACGTTATTTAGTATTCGACGTATTTCTTGCCCTGTATGTGCGGTGAACCTAACGTTTTTTTTATTCATACGACAGATTCTTTGATAATAATTCTGTTTGGTTTACCATTTCAACATGGAAAAATTCACGTCCGAATAGCGCTTCTTAACAAATTATGTATATATAACAAATATTATAAGTAACACTGCTTTAAAAAAGCGTAATATTTTTAACACTAACTACGAAACTATAACAATTGGCCGCTCAGATTGTATATTTTCATTTTGGAAACAAAAATCTCTAGTTTATATCGACTTTAACAGCAATATATATACAACTTTAGAAAGCAGACAATATTTATTGAATATGTATATTAAAATTGGTGATAATTCTGAATTAAATCTGAGGAAAAGTGCATTTATGTAAAATTATATCAAAAAATTACAATACGAAAGATTAGTACGCAAACTAAAAAATTATCGGCTATTATTCTCATTTATTAAGATAGGTTATTCATCTATCAAATAAAACTCAATGACACAAGAAACAGGTTCATGACTATCTATGATATCATGCACCAGCTCTATGCTCCTCTCAGGAGCGAAGTAGGGTAAAAAAAAATGCCCATTTATATTCACTAAGTACTTACAGTAGGCAATTTGGGAAAATTTTGAAAAATAATTTTAACATTGTCTGCATTAACATACAATAAACTTTTATACAACTGACAGGTACTTATAAAACTATTACATCTTGCAGTCAGTATATTATGATGAATTATTCATTTCAATCGATTACTTATCGTTATCGGTAAATGCTAGGAAAAATAAATTTTTTAGCATAAGTAAGTAAGTACTTTATTAACATTTAACTAAGTAACTGTTTTATTTGGTTATTGTTACTTTTCACTACAATTTATATTGCTAACAAGTTTTTATTATTTCTTGTCTTATTTTATATACAATTTATATTCAAATTGTTCATACATACAAACATAAATGTTTTCTTAAACTAAGAATATTTTTAACCTATCATAAAATAGACATTTTACATATATCCAAGGCTTTAAAATTTTTGTGAAAAAATATAAGTTTTGCATTTTAAAGTAAAAGGTTGGGGGGGGGGGGGGCTAAGTACTTGAATGTTTAATTTAAAACAAAGTATTCAAATAATTTGACCGCATATTAATATACGCGCGCAGATAAGTAGTTATGCATGATTTCATTTTTTTTAGAGAGCCAAATATTTACACACATGCATACACACATACATAAGTCAAGAAAATTTCTTCAGGAAAATTTTTCTACTTTACAAAATTCCATTGAAAAACGAAGCGTTTAAACAAAAAAAAAAGTTGCGCGATTTTTTTTTGTTGTTTTTTTTTTTTTTTTGAATAAAAACCGGTTTGTTTTCTGTTCGTCCTTGCAAAAATTTTTCATGTTTTTTTTTTTTTTTAGTATTTTAACTCTGTTTTTCTTTTTTCTTTTTATTATTTTCTTGTATTTCATTTTTGCTTTTTCCATTTTTGTTTGTTGTCTTTACTTGTGATACTTTTTATTTTGTTATGTTTTTGTAATTTATAACACGTTATTATTTATTTTTTTATTTGTTTTTATTTTGATAATGAAAGTTTTTTGACCTTTGGTTTTATTTTTTTTTTTTGTTAATTGTATTAATTTTGGGTAATAATTTTTTACAAAATATTAAAAATTAATTGAAAAATAAACGAAAACAAAAATTAATTCATTTGTTGGGTAAAAAGGCTACACCCCTGATTAATTGGACAGTAAAAATTAAAAAATTTTTATAACTTATTAATTAGATTGCTTATTATGTAAGCATGGATGTATGGATACGTATATATGTAAGTAGAATTGGGTGTGAATTAAAAATTTTAGAAATATGTGTACAGAATTAAGAGAGTCGCGCATCCTTGACATTTTTTTTAATTATTCTCAATTTGTTTCGATAGAAATGAGAGTAGATGCGTATGTAATGTAAATGAGTTTGTTTTTAATATTCTGCTCAGCTCAGAAGCTAAGTATTAAAAATAATGAGTTAAAAATAATAATTTGTTTATAAATGATAATAGTGCACGTGTAGACAGTGAAAAAGAGACAAAAAATGAATAAGTTCTAGTACTTAGTTAAGTAAGTATTGTTATAGCAAATTAAAAACAAAATTATTATAAAATTCAATATTTTATAACATTTTCTATGGAAACTCCCATATGAAATTTTAGAGTCTAATGTGATATTTTTGAATTTTCAAAATTGAAAAAATCCATTTTGTAATTTTGAATTTTCACCTAAATTGGGGATGATTATAGAATAGTTACCAGATTTTGAACCTTTTGAAAATTCACAATATTTTGATTCTCCGTATAAATAACCAAAGAAAAGTTTTATTCAATTTTGATAATATTCTCGGGTAAAAGTGAAAATAGAACATTTTAAAATATTTTATCATAAATTTCTTTTATTATTTCGGAAAAACAGACTATGATTTAAAAAATTTTAATTTTTTTTAAAGATAACAGATAAAGTAGATTTTGTAAACAAAAAACTTATTAAATATCAACTGGTTTAATAAAGTCGTGCTAGTTCGTGAACTTTTTCTAATATACTATTACACATATGATCCATGAACAGAGAATAGTAGAGCAGATTGTGATTTTTGACATTAAATAAAGTAAAAAAATAGAGAACTAAGGATTTTTTGTTCGGCGTCTCATTTTTGAAGTTCATGACTATTATTTAAAAATTTATATTATGCCTGTGCCTTCAATTGTGGGTGTTCAAACTCAAAAAAGAAAAAAAAGTGTTTTTTGAACTTAACTAAGTCTACATTTTATATTTTGACGCTCTGTAGCACAAAAATCATGCATAAGTATAAGAGAAAAAAATTGTGTGTAGTACTTAATTTTACAAATTTTATATTAATTATTAATGAATTTACAATTAAAATGCCTAAATTTAAATAAAAAAAAAAATTATAATATAAAAATAAAATTTATAAATTGAAAACTTACTATTAATTTGCAAAAGCAGTGCTGAATTAAGAATAACTATATTGAAATAGATAAGTAATTTTTATCTCCTTGGAATTTTTAAACATTTAATTTTAAAATAATCCAAATGAATTTCGTTGTATAGCAGCTTAATTTATTTTAAAAAAATTTTAAGTAGGAAATTACTTAAATGTCTCCAATTAGAGTTGAATAATGACGACTTTTCCAGAAAAAAAAAAATAAATTTTATATTCCAATTCGATTTATTTTCTTCTTTTTTAATATTTTGTTTTATTTTGCATTAAAATCCACATTTTGGAATAGAATTTTTTTTTTATTTAATTTTCAACTTTTTAATTTATTTTTTATTTTTCTTCTTCTTCTTCTTTTTGTATAATTTTTTGATTAATTAACTCTTTTTTTTCATATTAAGTATATATAGCTAATTTTTTCGTTTAATTCATAAAATTTTTAAATAAATTTCGTTTGAAATTACAAAACAATAGAAAAAAAAACTATTTTAATAACTTTTTTTTTAAAAATATTTTTATATAAAATTTTTTTTCTCTTCAAATTTTCATTTTTCTCTCTTTATAAGTATAAGCACTTTATTTCATATATCTTTATATTTTCCTTTTGATGAAAATAAATTAAATGAAAATTATTTAATTATTAATAAACTTAAAATTTCTTGTATAAAATTTAATTATATATATATTACATTTTGTATGTATGTACATATAAACAAGGTATTAAATAATTTATTAGTTGAAAATTAACGAAATTTTAATAATAATAATAGTAAAAAAATATTATATAACAAGAAATACAAAAAAAAAGAAAAACAATAACTAAATATCTTAGAATACTCGAATTGATTTTTTTTATCAATATTTTAAATTTTTAATTATTTATTTTAATACTTTTACAAAAATTTGTGTGATTTTAACTGTGCGAATTTTTTTAAATTTTTTATTTAGTTTTAAAAACTGTTAAATTTTTTTGTTTTTAATTATTTTAATTAATTTTCTGTTTAGTTAATCTGTTTTTAATACATTTGTAAGAATGTATGTTTATTTCCTGATACATTTGATGCAATTAAATTTTCAATTCAGGTGTGGTAAGAAAGGTGACTAAAAATACAATATGCACCCGCAAATGCAGCAGTTTTAATATCCAGTTTTTCATATTATAAAAAATAATATTACTTAAAATATGGTACTTAAGTCAAAATAATATTACTTTTGTTGCAAATTAGTAAAAATATTTAAATACGAGTATGTAAGTATGTTCGGTTTGTATAATCACCTTTATTTTCTCTACTTTTTGAACTCTAACTTTTTTTGTTTTTGTTAAAATATTTTTGGATATTTTCAGTTAATTTTAATTTAATTTTTCTCTTTCGCTTAATTATTTTAACTTTTCATTATTCACAAAAGTTTCCTTTTTCGGAGAACAAATTTTGTATTTTCTACACAGGTTAAAAAAAATTATTTTCTTTTTTAATTTTTATATTTAAATTAAATTTACAAAAAAAATGACATAAAAGTTGAAATAACAATAAAAAAAAAAAACAAGAAATTTGCATTGACAAAACTGTAGTTTTAATATTTTTGATAAAATTATTACTGTATAAATAGTACAAAATTTAAAAATTAAAAAAAAAATAAAAAAACTACACATGTAAAATAAATAAAAAAAAAATTTTTTAATGTATTCTTATTATAAGTATAAGAGAAACACATGCATATAATTTTAACACACACTGCCGCTGCTGCTGCGAACTACTCGTTCGTTCGTTTTTGTATATTTATTCGCTTCGCTCTCTATACACGATAAAAACGATTTCTTTTTGAAAACAACAACAAAAAAATAAATTGTAACGTTGTTATTATTGTTGTTTTCATTTAAAATGAAAAAAAAAATCTGTTTGTAGTGATGTAGCTCTCTTATACTTTATGGCTTCAATACAACAATAGTAATAATAACACAAGAAAAAAATGAAAAGTAAAAAAAAAAAGTTGTTTTTTTCTTGAATAAATTTTTAGAAAATCAAGTTATGTTGTGTGTTTTGTTGTTCTTGCAGTAGTACCCCATGTATAATATAGAATATTGTTGTTATGTCGCGTGATTTTTCAATGAAAAATTTTTTCTGAATGATCGTGACAAAAAAAAATTTATATTTTTTTTTCCTTAATAAAAATAAAAAGTATTATTTATATTTGCAGTTTTGTAGTTTAATTTTAATATTTGTTATAAAAATAATGTAGATATACACATATAAAAGTGTTTCTATTTAGCTGGTAATAATTGCTTGTAGAATTGTAGTATCCAATATTAAAAAGAAAAAAAATATATAACAGCTACATTTCTTATTTTGTTTCTTGTTTTCTTTTTTTTTTTTCTTTTTTTGGAATATTATTTATTTTAATTTATTTTTGTATTTTTAAATATGTGTGTGCAGGCCTTTTTTTTTGTTATATACATATTGTATTATTAAATTTCTGGAAATTTTCTTTCAAATTTAAATAATTTCACTATTATTTTTGTATTTTATTTACTATTATTATTATTTATTAATTTTCATCTTAAATAATCGTAAATTTAATAAATTCAATTTCGAAATTTAATAAAAAAATTGTGTATGATTAAATTTTATTTTCGAAACTATTTTAATTTTGATATTCGAACTTTTCATTAAACTTTTTTATTTTTATTTTACGTGCATATGTAGGTATATTCTTTTATTATAAAAATTCTGATGTGGCGATTTTCTTCGTTTATAATATTTTTTTCTTTAAATACAAAATTTAATATTTTATAATAATATTAATATCAATGTAAAAGTAAATGTATTGTTAATAACTGTTATGGCAACATTTTCAATAATAATATGTAATTACAAATAAACAAGCGAAGCTGCATAAGAGCCTATGTGTACGAGATATTAAAAAGCGAACGCGATCTTGGAAGTTGAAGTGTTTCTTTCTGTTATCAATAAAATTTTATTTTATTTTTTAATTTTATTATAATTTTTATATCGTGTATTCAAAAAAAAAAAAAACTATATGAATAAATGGAAACAACAAAACTCTTTATTCGCACATTATTATTGTACATATTTATTTTTAAATCTCATTTTTTTCTAAGTGTACTTTAAATTAATTTATTTAGGTAGGTAGGTAGGTAGGTACACAACATAGGGTGCATATTATGAGAAAATAAAATTATTTTGTAACATTATTTTTATGAATTTTTTTTACTTTTTTTTAATTATATTTAATTTCTTTTGTTTTTTATGTACGTATGTATATTTAATTTATACATATTATTTATATACCTACAAATTAAGTACATATATTTTCATTTTGTTCTATTTATGTTATTTGGAATTTCATTTTATTATTATTTTGTTTTTGTTTCTTAATTTTATATATTTTGTGTGTTTGCATGTATTAATACCACAATGAATTTTTCAAAAATATACCTACAAATATTTTATGAACATTTCAATTTCGATAAGCATGGTAAAATATTTTTTCTTTCTCAATTCTTTCTCCTCATTACGTTAAAATTTTTTCTTTTTTCATTATATTAATTTTGGCTACACATTTAAAAAAAAAATTAAATATCCATTATGAAATTTCGCATTTAAATATTATTTTAGACAGTATACGTACATGCATATGCATATATATAAAAAATTATTCATTATAGTTTAATACGAAATCTGAAAAGTGTGTGTGTGTGTATGTAGATAGATGTAAAATTATTATTTTCCTAGCTGAATTATTTTTTATTTTTCCTTCTTTTTTTATTTTTTTTTTTAAATATATTTTTTTATATTATTCAATATTATTAATGAGAATATGAGAAATACGGTATGTACGTCTTTTTTTTATTTATTTTATTTGCCTTCACTTTTAATTTTCAAAAAAAAAAAATATAAAAACAGCCATACGTGATTTTTTTTTCTATTTATAAATTGATTGCTGTGTGCTTTTTTTTATTTTATAAAAAAAATTATATGTATATAATTTTTTTCTCCTTTTCTGTATTAAAGAAATGTAAAGTTGATTATATATATATATAAGTATATACATACAGAGATTTAGAAAATCTAATACGATTTGTATATATATAAATATATATGTATGTGAAAAAAAAATTCATACGAAAAAATTTTTTTAATACCCGGCGAAATTTATCTACAACAGTCCCAACTCGAATAAAATATCTCAAGCAACTGAAAATTTTCTGACAGATATTTTATGGTGAACAACAAAATTTTAATAAAACTACAATACAACTACAAAATAGTAGAAAACTTGAATAAGAAAATGTAAAGCGACATAATAATTGTTGTAGATATTTTTATAAATGGCTTGGCTACAATGAAAAAAAAAAACAAACGGTAGTCGTCGTAGTAGTGATTTCATACAAAAAATTTTTATTTATACTTTATTTACATACCGATGCCGAAATTCTTTTCATACATACATATATTATGTTAGATGTACATACGTATTTAACTGTATATATATATGATTATAAAATTATACAATGAAATTTATTTAAATATATAGAATTGTGTGTATAATATTATTGTTATTATATTTTTCCGTTTTTTTGTTTTTGTTTTTTTTTGTCGTTTAAGAAGAGATGAAAAGACCGGATGGGTTGAGAAGTAAGTTGCGCGGCAGCGAGGTGAACAAAATTTTTATACTTAATTCAAGTTTTCTTTTTTAAAAAATAAAAACAACAAAAAAAATTGTTTTATTGTAACTAACCCACACATTATATAAGATATATGTGAAAAAGTATGTAAATATATTGACTGGTAAAGTATGTTCATATATACCTACATACATATATATATTCAATGTGTAGATTTTAGGTATTTTTTTAAGCATATTCCTAATGAATTATAAAATATAATATTAAAATGTTGAAATAGTGGAAAATAATGTTTGTATGTGCCATATAAGTATGTATGCATATACATAAATGTACAAGCATTCATAAATTTAATTTTATTACATTAAACAAAACTTATATGAATAGATATTTTGACATAACAAAAATATGTATCAAATTGTGGGCATTAAGAGAATCAAGAGAGAGAAAGATAAATTCCATATGAAACTATTGTATGTAGGTTAAAAAAATTTTTATGGTAGCCTTAAAAACCATGTTAGTTTGAAAATTAAAAACCAAGTTGTCTGAAAATTATATTCAAGCATTTCTTATTATAAAATAATAAAATTCACCATTTTCAACATTTTTTTTTATTCGCCAGCTATTCACTAAGCATTTTCCATTTATAATATTGAATTAGTAAAACAAAATCTAGTTTTAAAAGATTTTTGTGTTTAAAATAAAAACACATGCGGCAATTACGAGAGTAAAAAATAATGTCCAGGGCTTGATTTATTTTATGCCGAGTTATACATTCGGACAAACATACACGTCTATATAAATTAAAAATAATAAAAAGAAAAGTGCTGCCGTTTTGTAATATATATTTCTTAATATTCATTATACATATTATTTGTGTTAGTTTATTGAATTGAAAATAAACGTAAGTTAAAAAGAAAAAAATTTCAATGAATTTTTTTTTTATTATTTCTCTATTTTTATTTTCTTTTATTCAAAATTTTTTGTAAGATGCAAAGCAGCATTCCGCAACAACCACAATTTATTATCTATCTATTCGCAACAGAACAGCAAAATAATTAAAAAATAGTAATGGAATGGAATGAAACGAGCGGCATGCCATGCCGCCCTAAAACAGAACAAGCAACATACAAGCTACATTTAAATTTTTAATGTTGTTTTCAAATGATGACGATGTCAGGCAGGCGCGTAATAATTTATGATTGTGTGCTGTTATGTAGGTGCGATTGTGTGTTGGAGATTCATTGAAATAATATAAAAAAAAAGTTGTGAAAAAATCAAAAATTAATTTCATTTATTTTTATATAAATATATTTTTTTAAAAATGTATTTGCTAATACATATTATTGTGTCGTTATACATACATGTATGTATATTATTCTTTTTTGCATAAGGTATATTTAAAATATCCATTCATACATACATTATATTATTAGTTGCGGACCATTCTGTATACAGATTTCAGTGGTGTGTGTTGATATTTTATGAATGTATTTATTATATTATTATAGCTGCAATTTACATAGTATAAAATATATATTAACCCTTTTTTACTCGAACGGAAATCAAATTATACATATACATTATGTGTTTTACGTACGTATATTATTTGTACATAATATAATAATTATTTTAATAAAAAAATAAATTTAACTTTTTTATATTGTAAAATAAATAATTTTTATATAATCAGGTTTAATTATTAATAATTTATGTGTGCGTTTGCATTTTCTAATATTTAATTTTATTTAATATTTTTTTTTAAATAGGTACCTAAATGTAGTTATAAATTTTACAATTAGCATTATAAAATCTGTTAGAATTTTGAATTTTCACAATTATTTTCAATTTCCAAATGATTTTAATCTTTACAATATTATCCCAATAAATTTATGACTCTTACGAATTCTTATACATATTATTTGAAATTTTTTTTTTTTTTAATTTATACATATTACATATACATAATTTTTTTTCTTTTAAATTTACATAGTGTATGCATGCATGTGAACTAAATTTTTAAAACACATTTAAAATAGAAAATATTTTTCATTACACATAGCCAATATAATTCTTATATAAACGTATGGTATGTATATAGGTATACGTTATATTATGTAAATATTTTCTCATTTTAATTGAGAAATATTTTTATTCAAAAAAAATTTTAAAATAAATGTACATTATATATGCACACGTGTACATATGTACACAAAATATATTTATAAAGTGAATATGTTTTTATAAAAATCTATGATGTTGTTTCACCAAATGATAGAAAATTAAAAAAAATTGAGATAAACTGATACTAAAATTGGAAATATTAAAAATGAGAGAATATATAATTTAATATAACAGAGACAGAAAAATGGAAAGGGAGAGAATTATAATTCTTTTTTTTTCGAAAGAGTTGTACATATTAAAAAGATTCAAGAATCAAGATTTCAGATATGAGTTTTTTCCTTTTATTTTAATTTTGCGTATTTATATCAATATATATTTATATTCATAATATAATACATGCATACATACGTATCTATCTAGATATTAAAATAATTATTAAAATATGTTTATTATAAAATAATATTTATTTTATAGTATATTATGTATATGAGTAGGTGTTCGTAAGACTAAGCAGTTTACAACATTATTGTAAATTACAATTAATAATGCAGGCCATGGACATTTTATACCGAAAAAATAGATATTTACAGGGTTTATGTTATCAACTATAAAAAAAAGTTTAATTAAAAGAATACTTTAAATTTCTAAGTATAGAAAAGAGTTCCGACTCTAAGAAAACCTTAATATCCAGATTTCATTTAGAAAACATAAAAAATTTCTAAAAGCTGACAGAACCCGCCCATATACCTAATTGAATAAAAAAGTAATGTGAAACTTCAGTTACGTCACAGTCACTTTCACTTCCAATTGATAGTTGTATACAATTAAGGCATTCATTTTTAAATATTGTTCTAATAAAATGAATATAAATAAGAACAAAAAAAAAATAAAGTTTAAAAATTGGCATGTACTTGCATTTTTTGACATACATATGTATTAAAACATATTGATATATATGATTTTTGCAAATGTTAAAATACAAAATAAAAATTAAACACAGATTTAAAAAAAACAATGTACGGATATATATGTATGTTTATATAGTGGAGTTTCTAAATAAAGAACGGCCATAATTTAATAAGTTTTCTTGTAAAGAAATGTTTTTCTACAGTAAATTTGTAAATCAAAAATAAATTCTACTTTCGTTATCAGATTACGGTTTGTTATACGGAGGCTCAACCATTTATATGCACTTGTATTATTTACGAAATTGCAATATACAAAAAAGTCAGTACCACGGACATGGTAAGTAAGCGATGACTTGGTTACGATTACAAGTACTATATTAATAAATTTCATCTGAAATAATTTAGAGTACAAATTCACAATTATATTATTGCACTTTTAAAGAGAGTAAAACACAATAATTATTGTCAATTCCTAAAAACATTTTATTTGGTACATATGTACATATTATGTGTATACATATGTATGTATGTATATGCAAACAATTTTTTGTCTAGGTTATTCAAAAAAATTTTTTCAACAATTATTTAAGAGGAATACCTTCAAGATTTTTGAACAAAAATTGAAAATTATGTGTATGTACATAATAATGTAACTTTGTATATGCACATGTATTTATGTATATATTTTTAGTTGTTTGCATATGTTTGTATGAGCACATATGTTCATGCCAAGCCGATACATATAATAATTCATTCATATAAAACTTTTCCAACTTTTATTGATATTTTACCCCCAATTTTAATTCATAGTTAAATAATAAAAAAAAATAAATGAAAAATTTAAAAAACCTTGCATTTGCATCTCTAGTGTTTACCTCCTTCTCTTTACCTTTCTCTTTTATAAAAAAAAAAATTTTTTTTTTTAAATCATGTATGATGTAGTTGTGGTTTCATTCTCTCATTTTATTGTATTATTTAACTTTTTTTTCTTTTCTTATCTTTTTTTTTCTATTTCTTTTAAGTATAGCGGAATCTCACGCCACACATGGCATTCCAATGAAGCAGCATTATTAATATTGAATTAAAAATGGAAATAGGCACGTCAGTCAGTCGCATTATTGTGAAGGCCTCGTATTTTTTTATATGCTTTTATTTTTTGATCTGCAATTGATGTGGTTTCGTATTTTGTAGGCAACATTTTATGAAAAATTTTTAGGCAACACTACATACCAATGATTGAATGATACTTTATTTTTATTATGATTATTTTGTTATTATTGTAAAATATTTACATAAATAATATACGTTCATGCGTATGAAAATAGATTTTTGAAAAAAAAAATGAATTAAATCAAAATTAGAAAAAATTAATTTAAATTTTACGGGAATTTTTTTTAAAATTAATGCATTTTAATTATATATATATGTACATAAATATTTTGATATTTATACTTTTCTAATTTTTATTCACATTGAATAAATATACATAGAGGATTTATACAAATCATTTATAATTCATTTATAT